GGCTTTGTCCAAATTTTATGTCTGTGCACAATGACAGAACTCTTCAAACATGTCCCAAAATGCTTTTTAAAGATTTGGAAAGAATACAAATTATGAGTTTGGGTGTAATTCTTATTTTTGTTTCTCTTTTAACCTAAAGAACTAAAAGTTAATGATACCTTACTTAATTCTATATCCCATAATCATCAGTCCTCATCTCCATCCCCACTCATTTCTCCTTCTCTGAATAGATGCCTCCTCTAAAAGTTGGCACAGTCCTTAAAAGGGAATACAGCCTTATAAAGTAAATGTTGTGCACATATTCATGTGCAGACATATGCTGTTAGATATCTCATTTTGATACTTAAAGTTCTCAGTCATCTACATGTTTCCAAACTGTATTCATATTACTACATACAAATCAATATTTTCCAGAGTTCTATTGAATCAAAATGCTATAATTTAATATATGTTTGTTCCCAAAGTTACCTATTCCTGACTTCTACAAGTATTACAATACTTAATATCTTTGTGTGTGTCTCCACACTGCTCCACGAATGACATCTCTGTGAAGTATCTCCTGGAGTGGGTCACTGCTTCAGGAAAATAAGCAAATAAAATTTATTTTAATAAGAATGGATCTATTTCAAGAATATATTTATTAGTGTATGTTTCACCATCAGTACACAAGAATTTGATACTCCTGTCATCCAACTTATAGATATGTACTGCATGTACATATGGTAAGGAATTGCAATAAATAATTACATCAGGTTAAATATTATGAAGTCAAAATTATTTACCAGCTTAGATATATCATGTTATTAAATAATTCAATACTGGCCTGGATATGAAACAGGAAGATTTATTAAGCACAATCCATGTCAACACCAACAACAAAAATTAGTGATTCTAACACAGACAAGTAAAAAAATATTTTAATATACTTTTAATATATGTGTCTATAAAAATGATGAGATGGACAATTTTGAATAAAGGTGATAAAGTAGTTGTTGAAATGACATGAAAAATTGAAACACACACTACAGCACAGATGGGATGGCTGATCACCAATTTTTTTCTTTTCTTTTCCTCCTGGGCACATGGATGAATTATTTCTCATCCTCCTTTCAGTTGGCTGTGCAAAACGGCTGAGTTCTAGCCTCAGTCAGATGTGGGATCAGCATCATATTTGGCATAAGCCATTCTTTCCATCTCTTTGTGCTTGTCCAGATTGGCTTTCCTCAGTGCATTTCTGTTCTAGAGCTTGTATTTTCCAATTGTTGAACAGATTCATTCAATAATATAGTTTATTATATCTTTGAAATATATATTTCATACACTATCTCTAGTCTTTAGAAACGAATTATGACCACTGTAGCTCAAACTGCTTTTGCTGTCATATTTTTTTTTTTTACGTAGACATTTTAGTTAACTCAGTCATATGCATTATGGGAATTGAGGTGAAGAAATTGTTATGACAGCTACAGTGTCAACAAAACTGCTCCAATCATGTCATGCATTGTTGCTTAAGAAATATCCTTACAAGTAGTAATAGCATCCATCAAAGGACAGAAGTTTGGAATAGAAGGTGACAACTGGGAGAATAATTTGTGGAGGTTCTTCTCATGCCATTCAGGAATGGTTCTGTTGAATAGAAGAAAAGAAAAGAAAAATGTATGAAATTAAGTTGAGATGCAGAGAGAAAGGAAAGGAGGAACATGAAGAAGAGGAGCAAGAAGAGCCAGTACAATGGTTTGAATTTGAATCTCTAAGAAGGGCAAGTGGGAAATTCTATAGCAAAGTAAATTTGCTCTAAGAATAAGGAGGACTAATGCTGCAACATAAATCTCTCTTTTTCTTCTTTTCACCCATATCTCCAATTTTCTGTAAAGTCTATTACTTTAAAAAATAATAATTGACACATAATAATTTTACATATTTATGGGGTACAAAATGATATTTAGATGTATGTATACAATGTGTGATGATCAAACCAGGATAACTAGCATATCCATCACTACAAACCTACAAACATTTATAATTTTTTGTTTTGAGAATATTTGAACTCCTCTCCCACAGTCATTTTAAAATATACAAAAAGTTATTTCTAGTTATAGACACACAGCCAAATTATAGAACACTAGAACTAATTCTTCCTATCTAGCAGTAAGTTTGTATCCATTAAACACCCATACCTCCAAGTTTTGGTGAAATCCACTTCTATTCTAAATAATTTCTTTGAAAGGAAATCTTAATTTCCATGAAGGTGGTTGAAAGACATAGCCTTTTGGAAAGCAGAGATGATAGGTGTGGCTTATGTCACTTCAGACAACAGGAGTGAAGGCCTGTGGACTTCCAGGGAGAGGGCATTATCTGCACAAAACAAACACATGCAGACTGTAAATGCAATACAATTCCATTGGAGACCTTAAAATTCCTGTTTTGCTTCTGAATTTAAAAATTGTGAATGATCTCAAGTGCGATCATTTTGTCTGGTTCCTGATGTGTTAGGAAAGTTTGAAAAACCAGAGATCCTTGGGATCAGCACAAAATATTGAGATGTATAATGACAATTCTTTAAAACAAAGTGTATTTCTAGGAAAATATCATGATCCTTCAGTGAGTTTGGAGGTTTAAATTTGTGAAACAGCATTTACTACTCTTCTGAATTTGGGGAAGTTTGATGACTGTTGGAACTCAAGTACTTGAAAGGATTCATTCTGTGGCCCACACAAGACTTACACACATGTCCTGGACAGAAAATATTACATTCTATATTATGGAACTGGGTCAGAGCTCTTGCCCTGGTGGCAGCTACAAAATGAAGAGCACTTGTGGTTTCTTTTTTAGGTCTTTCCTAATTTAAAAGCTGTGCTCAAACAATGACTGGCTCCTTGACTGTGTCCTGCATCTCCTCTGTCCTCTAACACCCAACAAGGATCTGCTATTAACTCAAATACAAGATGCCATGGAACCTCCTGGGCACCCTGATAGACATAACCTGGAAAAGCAGGAAAGTCAGTGCTCCATGGGGTGAACTTTATCCAATAGGAATTGAGCACTGACAAATTAATTTTCCTAAATTATCTCATTGAACATTGTGCTTGGCAGATGTATCTGGTTGGTTAATTGATTTGATTCATAACATCTAAATAAAAGTATGACAAGTATTATGTGAGTGTGTGGTATTGAGTGTATATACTTTTGGAACTTTTGAAATGATTGGGTTTTGTTCCTTCTTTATTCAAAGAAGGCTACGATTCATTTGTTTAGCACAAATTTTGCATCTAAATAGTGTTGCAAAGGCACACAGTGTGCAAACTTTTGTGAAACTATAGCACTGAGTAGTAGTGAATAAAACAAGGGTCAAGATTTTAGATTGTCCAGTTTGAGGGGGGCATTATTTTACCTAAAAGAATATATCAAAATAGATGCAGCAGGTAAAATCATGTCCCCTCAAAATTGCCCATGTCCTAATCTTCCGGACCTGTACACATGTTATCTTCCATGGGGAAAAAAATGTATTGATGTGATTAAGGGTCCTGAGGTGTCACGTGCCTCATGCATTATCTGCATAGGTTCAACATAATCATGAGGGGGAGCAGGAGGAAGAAGGACAGAGTCAGTGGAGATGTGGCAGTGGGAGCTGAGGTCAGAGTGATGGGATTGCTGGTTCGAACTGGAAGATGAGTCGAGGGCTGTGAGCAACATTTAAAATGGAAAATGCAAGGAAATAATGTGTAAAACAAAATATGTCTCCAACTACAAGTACACTAGCTGATGCAGCAAAATACACCCATAATAAAGTAAAATCAAAGAAACAAACACAAATAAATAAAATAAAAAGCTTAAAGGTTAATGTTATCTGATTATTGCCAGTGATGTCCCTTGAGACTGGATAAGTTCATCACATAGTGTGACTCTTTTTGTTATTTTGGGGTATTCTGTTTCTTTAAAACTGAAATTAGAAGTTCACTCACTGGTCTGAGTCTCACAGTGCCTAGATTTTGGTTATTTCTGACCTCCTTGGAGATATCATAAATGCAGTATTTTCCAGACACTTACTGTTCCTCATAGGTCAGTTCAACTTTTTCCTTCACCATCATATATTAGTAGAATTTTAAATGTACAGAGATATGGTTCATATTAACCATTAACTGTTTTTTTTTTAATTTGTTTGTTTATTATTTGACCACGAGTACTCTTGAGAATTGATGACACTTTGAGGACAATGTCTTTATTTGGTGATGGTGGTGGGAAGGGTTGTCTAATAACTTTTCACTAAAAATCACACTAAACAAAATGTGAAAAAAGTGGTGTTTGTCGCTATGGTCTCATAACAAAGACAATTAACTCTATGCAACTGTTTTAATGTTAAATGAAAAATTAATTATATGTCAACATTTTGCTTCATTGTACAGGGACCAAGTGAGAAGGATGAAAAAGGAAAATTTTATTTTATGTTTTTGTTTACACTGCTTTTTTCCACATATCCTATTTCCATATGTATTGAGCACTTTTAGTTTAATTTTCATTTTCCATTAAGTCTTTTTATTCTCATGAAACAAAATTATATTTCAGTACAAAATAAAAATAGTTTGACAAGAGATGAGGATTTGATGTATAAAATACTGCAAAAACAAATATAAAATATTTAATAGTTGAAGAAAATATGTCTGTTGCAAGAACAGTGATCTGAATCTTAACAACCTTCCAAAAACTGATCCTCACATACACCCACCATCTGCTATCAGGATGCATCTTCCTTCATTAAAAATTACACACATCCTGTAGTAACTTACATTTTATTTATAAAATGTGCTCACTGATTTTCAAATTACTATTTATTATTTATTTGTGTTGTTTTCTTGTTTGGAAATATGAGTTTTTGATAAAAACATTTAAAATATTTTCCACCAAGACTAATGGAGTTTCTAACCATTTTTTCCCCACTTTTAATAGAAGCATTTTTAGGAAGGAATAACAATTTTTAAGTGAAGATAGGTTTAGTTTTAAGTTTACATTAGCTTTAAGGATTTCAATGGGCTATCCAGGAATCTCTTCAATGCATGTTTCACATCCTTGTTCCTTAGGCTGTAAATCATGGGGTTCAGCATTGGTATTACTAGGGTGTAGAAGACTGAGGCCATTTTGTCAGTATCTAATGAGTGGTTGGTCCTTGGTTGCAAATACATGAAAAGAAGAGTCCCATAGAACACAGTGACAGTCACCATGTGAGAAGCGCATGTGGAAAAGGCTTTTTGTCGTCCCTCTGAGGAACGTGTCCTCAGAATGGCAAGGACAATGTTGAAGTAGGATACGAGAACAACAATCATGGAAAAAAATAAATTGATACCTGAAAAGGTAAATACTGCTGTTTCTGGAAGGTAAGTATCAGAACAGGACAAGGCTAACAAAGGAACGTCATCACAGTAGAAATGGTTGATTATGTTGGAAGAGCAGAATGACAAGGAGAACACACAGGAAGTGACAGTCACTGCTGTGGTCAGACTTTGGAGGTATGTGAGGAAAACCAGCAGACAGCAGATCTGCGGAGACACCACCACCATGTACAGCAGGGGGTTGCAAATAGCCACATAGTGGTCATAGGCTATGTGTCATAGTTTTCCTTTTGATTCCGCATTATTTCTTATAATTCTGAGAATTTCTTATATATTCTGGATACATGTGCTTTATTGAATATCTGATTACCAAATGTTATTCTACAAGTCTGAATTGTTTACTTTCTCAGCAGTTGTGTTTCACAAAGCAGAAGATTTCAACTGTGATGAAGTATAATATAGCATTTTCTCTTATAATGCATGCATTTGGTACTTTAAATAAAAATGTGCAACTACAACATTAACACATGGTCACACAGATGTTTCTCTGTGTTCTCTGTAGAAATGTTTTATGTATCGCATCCTGAGTTCATCTCTTAATGGGAAAAATGGAAAGAGATTAATAGGTAAGAAATTGTTTTTTTTTTCTCTTAGATGCTAGATCATTAAATGTTTTCTTTAAAATCAGATTATTTGGGTTGACAAACCATTAAATTTTACAGAACTTAATTAATTTTCTTGTAATATTTTGACAAATTCAGAAATGCTTACCAGAAAAAAGTTAAGGTTTTAAAAATTGTTTAAAAGAACTACTAATTTCTTCATCACTGTTAAATATTATTATACATATATAAATTATATTGACATATGGTTTGGATGAATATATATGCATTTATGTATGTTTATATATACATATATATACACACAGAAGCACATGTTTGTGTGTATGTGTGATTAAAAGGATGAAAGAGAGCAGGTTTGAGGAAGTTGATGAGCCAGAGTGACCTCCAGCTACCTTTCTCAGAGCTTCCTTAAGTGTCCTCTCCAGCCCAAACCTTGTCATTAATCATCCTTGGGAATTACTGTACACTGGACTTACTAATTTCTGTCACACCATTCAGCTTCAGCTGCCCAGAAACAGGCCTACACCTCAGCACGGCTCCATTGAAGTGGCAGTCTGAAACTGAAAATCCTCTTTACTTCATCACATTTGATTTCTTCTGCCAGATGCGATAGTTCTGTCCTGTCACTCTGACTTCTAACTATTCAGACTCCTCTACTATTTTGTCTGGCAGCTCTTCTTACCCTTCACTTTCCAGCTTATGCCTCTTCTTTTTTACTTGTTTAAAAACTGTTTTGATTTTTTTTAAGAAAATTATTACTTACAGTTTTTATTAGCTAAAGTTGATTACTTTGATTTACTTGCATAGAGAACTGACTGGGAGAGAGTGCTAATATTTATTTGGCAAGTAATATGTGCCCAGAATGACAGCAAGTGTTTTGCAGTAAGGATCCCATTATTTTGCAGGACTGCCCTCGAATGTGGATGTAATTACTTCATGTTTGGTGAGACCATTGAGGCTCAATAGGTTGGGTTATTCCATAGTCTATCAATGTAAGATATTGATTAACAGGACAGTCTAAACTTCATTGACCTATGCTTTTTTGTGTGTGTGATTTTCTTTACATGTTTGGTTGGTTGGTTGGTTATTAGTCTACCTGTTACTGTCTGTGGGATTTTTTTCACATACTTGTATTCTTCTGTTCTGCAAATTAAATGAGATAACAAACATATATAGGTTTGTTTGCATAGAGTCTGGTACCAAGTAAATGAGAAACTAATGTTACCTTAAATTATTGTTATTAGTATGCTTTGAATGATGTTTAATGTAATTTCTTATTTCAGTCTCAGTAACATATTCAACCTTATTGGGGTTTTTACAGTTTAAAAAAAACTAGCAAATGAATGATGATTTTGTTATTAAAAAACTGTGACACACAGTATTTAACTATATATTTAACAAAACAAAACATACTTTCTTGCAACCAGATTCTCTCTTAAATCTTCAGTGTTTGATTCTTGTGATGTAAAGATACTCAATTCAATACACCAAATATGAGGCTGATGAGCTGATGGGATTGTATTGTCCCACCCATCCCATATCTTTTCTGTCCAACCACTGCACATAAAAACAACTGCATTTTTTATAAGCAGGTTACCTTATGATGGACAACACTGTTTCAACTTGTTAACTCTGACATATATATTTTGTAAACTTTTCCTTAATTGAACAACAACAACAAAAGAATAGCAACAGCAGTTACTGACTGTCTACTATGAAATTGTGGAATTAACTTTGGGAATAGAGAGTATTTGCAAATATCCTTACCTTTTTAAACTCCTTTCTGTACTAAAGTAAAGGCAGAACTAGGGCTACTTTTAATTACATAAGAATATGTTACTAAAATTAAGTTTCTGTAGAACAGTCCATTTTTTTTCCTATTTTTTTTCAAATTCTTATTTGAGTTCACATTTGTCCCTGTTAAAAGATATTATAATTTTCTACAAATATTTTTCCAATTAGTTTTTGAATAGAAATAATTTATAAATCAACCAATATAATAAATTCTCATTAAATAAAGTTTTAAAAATATACCCAATGCCTCATTTCACTTTCAAAAGTGTCACCATTTGGATGCAAAACCATATTACAAAGTAACTCTTAAATAGCTTGTTGGGTGATCTCATGATGTTTTCCACTCATTTCTAACTGTGAAATTCATCTTAAATTTGTTGAGATATGGCTTGTGTTTGTGATGAACACTGAATCTCAACATGAGCTCTAAGTGTCCACCAGGGACATAGAATCTGACAGTTGGCACCGGGGAACCTGATCATTTTGGGTTTTTAACCCTGGACAATGCAAATATCAGGAAGAGAAGAAAAACATCCTTTTCTGTTAATTGAGTTTTAGAAATTTTGTAAACCTTTCCTGGGAACATGGAATCATATAGTTTAGAGACAAGAAGTTTCCCATCTGGTGTAGACTGTCCTCTGAAATATCTCTTAGTACTAGTGTAGGAAAAAAACCCTCTTCCTACTAATGTGAAATATTCCTCCTGCAAGAGCTATTCATCATTTTGTATAAACACTCAAGCACTCAAATATATTAATATGGATGTATATTTAAAAGGGATGTATATACTATTACTGACATTATATCACCATCACTTTTACTAGGCACTCAGTGGGAAGACATTTGAATCACTGGGGAAAAAATTCAGATTAGATATCATTTCAGTCCTAGGTTTAATTTAAATTGATAGAGCTTCCAAGATACTTGATACTCACAGTTACAATGAGGAATAAGTAAAATATTTGGTGTAACCTACCTGTGCAAAGAGTTATGCTGAGATCTGCTCCCAAGATTGGTTCATGCTGAAGAGTTTTATAAATGTCTGAAGTCCCTGAAGTCCTTCACATTGAAATGTGTTTTTTTCTAGGTCCCAGCCCGTAAACATGACAAAAACAATTCCCAGAAAAAGGTCTGATTCCCTATGGAGATGTAGACAAATTGAATCCTTATTAGCCAGGATTTCAATCAAAATTTCACACAAAGAGTGATAATGCAGATAATGTAGAAATGTAGAGATTGCTTAGGGACTCATTTTGATGTTCATAGTGAATAGCAAACAATGTTTTTCTTAAGTTGTATTCCTATATTAGCTGGAAGTGCTGCTGCTGGCCCTAGGATGAAGAAAATGGAACTGTTAGAAAGAGCAGGATTCTGTCCCCAATGGCCAATTTTAATGTTAATATCGGGAATAGAACTGAAGGCAAAGAATCCATTCTGCATCAAGAGCAAGCCCTGATGAGTATTCCATAAAAATCAGGCAATATAAAACAGAAATTCTCATGTGAATGGCTTAAAGAGACTGAATATCAAATTATCTGATGAAGTTCTTAAGTCACCCAGTAAATACCTTGTCTTGTTTCTAGTGTTTAATTTTAACTGTTTAGGTAAAAATTACATTTTTTTTACATAAGTCTGTGATCTTTCTTTAAACCATAGATAAATATTGTAATTAAGCACTGATAATAATTTTTTTTTTATTTTGTGTCGAATTTTCTTATCTACAAGCATTGTAAGTGCAAATGGTTGACTGAATTTTTACTTTTATTATCAGCTTCTAAAATAATGCTAAGAAAAGAGTATATATTCAAAATATTTCACTGACGAACTGATGGAATAATGTAATGAACAAGTGAATGAATGAAAAAAATATTTTTCTTAGAATACTAAAATCAAATATGACATATTCATTTTAAGTACTGTAATCAATCTTTACTGCAATTTCAACTATGATAAAGACACATGGGCGACCTGCATATCATTCTCTAGTGTACTTATTCCGCTAGGGCAGAACACAACTGCTTCTTCTTCATTTTGGTTATCCTAATTTTTAATAAGTGGCTGGCGCATTTTAGTCTGTGAAATACACTGCAATTAATTTAAATCCTTGAAGTTCTCTCCAAGCCCAAAAAATACCCACGAGACAGTGATGTTTATACTTCCTCTATAATGTAGGTTGTAGCTTGTATTTCAAATGGTGGAACAATGTCTTTCATAATATCTTTATTCTCTCAGCAGAGAGAATATTCTAGCTTCTATGTTCCCTAGCTATGTGTTTCACCTCCTAGCTGTACTAAATCTCATGTGCTTTGCTCCCTTTGTCACTTTTCTGTTTTATCCTATCTCAAGCATAATTTCTCTTCTGTAACACCCTTTCTATGCTATTTGTTAAAAAGTACCATTTTGGTGTGACAAATGACTCAAGGATGTAGAAGCCAGCATTTAGCTTGCTTGGTATAGCTCTGACAGCCTGGGTTTAGTTACTAAATTTGTTCCTTCTGGTCATTAAAGACCCGGTGATGAAAAACAAAATGTGTGTGTGTGTGTGTGTGTGTGTGTGTGTCTGCATATGTTCCTCTCTCTCTGAGTTTCTCTAGGCAAACTTGAGCAACAGTAACTGCTCCAGAATGTTACAATTGAATACATCTCTGGACAAAATGTGTCCCCACGTGTCCACAAAGTTCTGCAAGTGTTTTTTTTTTTTTTTTTTTTTTTTTTTCCTCACTGGTAAGGGGATCACAACCCTTGGCATGGTGTCGTCCGCACCACGCTCAGCCAGTGAGTGCACCAGCCATCCCTATACAGGATCCAAACCCGTGGCCTCAGTGCTACCAGCGCTGCACTCTCCCGAGTGA